AACGATAATCTCATGGATTGTTAGTTTAAATAGTCTATTTTACCTCTTTTAACTATTCGTTCTTTGCATTTGGTTTGAAGACTATTGAACTGTGGAATTCTTATGAGAGAATATTTATTTGCAGTTCGTAATCCTTATTTTTAGTATACTAAGGGTTTTGTTTAGAAAGAAGTTTGAGCTTTGTACAAAACCTAAACTCATAATTTTTGCCTTAAATGAAAGGACGAGGGTCCTAGATGTGTTAGTATCGATTTTAGTGAGGATACTATTATTTAAAATCTCGAAATGAATGGAATGGACGCCTGTCTGCAGTAGTTTGTTCGTATTTCGTTTTGAGGGAGATTGATCTAAGGGGGCAGCCGATATTTCGTCTTCGCGCACACGCGAGTGTGACGTCGTTTGCGAAGCAAATATAGCGAGTCGTCTTAAGTTCGAAGAGTATTTTTAATGCAAAGATAATGGAGTCATAAACGCAAAGTCCAGCAAACATTGGACACTCGGCTCCTTAACAAAACAGAGATTGTAATGAGTGTATGTGGTGCATTGCATTTTGATGTGAAGATGGGGTCAAGAAGTCTTACCATAGTTCCCTACAACACAGGGTTGTCCATCTGGCGGGCCGCATGCGGCCCGTGATGCCATTTATTGTGGTCCGAGAAAGGTTATTAGTCGAAAGAGAAAGTCCCTTTCATCAATATCGGGCGAGAACATTGTGCGCGATCCCCCCTCCGTGTTTTACGGAAAAATCGGTATAGTTTAGAGTTAAGGAACCTATTTTTCTAATAAATTCTGAAATCGAAAAGCATCCCAATGTGTTTCACTGCAAATATTTTCGTTGTGGCCCGTGAGAACTTGCAAGTTCGACGCGCCTGGGAGAGGGGGGGGGGTCAACTTTTCAGCTCTTCCACGAGTTCGATGTGTACGAAAGGGTTCAGCTGGGGATGTCATCCCCAGGTGCATCCACAGGTGTGGCGTTATTGATTCAATACGAGCAGCGGTTGCGGCTGACGGCACATGCGATTCTCTCGTTGCAGTGAGTTATGTGCTTTTAACGATTAGTTCTATTAAAAGCTCCGGAACTGTCAGTCCTGGTACTGAAGGTCAAAAGGTCACACGTGACGCTCTCTCGACAAAAATGTGGGTAATTAACTACGAAGTATAAAATGCAGAAAATATGTACTGAAACGGTGTCTCAGGTTACTTTTCAGAAATTGTTCATTTTGCTAATCGGTTCGAACTGATTGACGTATGAACTGCAAATAAACGTACCACATTGACATCTTACGTGTCTACTAACCCCTAAAATAGACTTCTCGAAGTGTCGCATTAGCGACGAAATAATGATGCGACGCAAATTAAAGATCCTATTTCTTTTCTTTGCGGCGAAAGCTGTTGCCCGTTCGATTAACTACAGCGATATTAACTGTTGAACCATGTATTGTATGAGTTCGTGTTACGTCACTGAAATTTTAACGAGCTAATCGTGATCTACAGAAATTGCATAATGTCCTCTCATTTGGTTTTATTGTTTCCAAACGACCTTGTCGTAAAAGTTCCGCGATCTAATGGAAAGTAACCTCGTATTTCGGAAACTGAGAGGCGCTCGGGGCGGTGGAGAAATGTAGGGACCCAAGTCAAAGAGGGCACTGTTTTTATTACTTAGCGCGCCAACGCTGCTTGTGTTTGCTGTACACTTTCATGAAGGGGGCCCGGAAAAGTTTTGCGGCCGGCCTGCACTTTTTTTCTTACTCGACTGCCTCGGCCAGTGTGATCGAAGCCGGGCCATCTATCTTGGGTCACTCACTCGTTTGTTGTTTCGGTTATCGTGGGGTCCGTTACAGTAGTATCGTTTAACATCGTTAGGATTGAAACATTTTAATCCCGCGAATTTCGGAACTAGTTTGCGATTGGGAAAAATCGTGTATTATTAACCTTTATCATTTTATTCTTTATATTCCTCAATTATTTATTTAGAATTCTTTATTGTACCAATTCGACTATAATTTTTCAGGTATTTTTTGCATATAGAGATTTTAAAAGTGATTTTCCATGCGGTGATAATTCGATTTAATTTCGTTATAAAATAATGCAAGTAACTATGTTTGACGGCAAACTTCTAGAAGACTCCATCGATTTTTATTATTTTTTTAAGGTATATGTATATCATTAAGGCTTTTATAATTTCAATTTGATGGCTATCAGTATGCAGTGACACTCGGGAAATCATGTACACGGGTGTATTTTGGAGCAATCTCCCGCCGCTGGGCTGAAATCTCTGCATTCCAATTATTCTTTATTTTCATCATTTTTCCTATTATTCTTTATCCGCCTTTCGATTCATCGGTATCAAAGACAAAGCATGGATTCTGGGTACACCATGTGATAGAGGATTTTTTCTTCTTTATTTAGCAACTGAAGTTGTCCACTATTTCGTTGCCAGGGCCCAGTAGTAAGATTTTTTCTGCCGATAATCCTCCGTTCTTTCGCAGCATGACTTAACGTTCTGCCTGCAGCGTAAGCGCCCCCGGAGCTTCTTTTGTCCTTTCGATTTTTCCTCGCGACTACTCGGATTTCTTGAGCGCTGGCCGGCTAGAGATACCGCAGTGGCGTCAACAGATGCCCTGAGCCACCTCGGCCGAGCTGCGCGCTCCTGGTGGCTCCTCGCCCCGCGCCGCAAGGGGCCTGATGGGCCCAGAGCAGTCGGGAGCTAAGAGCGCCAGCGTGAGCCTCCTGGGAGAATTGTCGAAAGAGGAGGAGTTTGTTTGCGTCTCTTCACCTTGCGCGGTTCCGCAGGCGCTCGCTGATTCACGTGCAAACACCCGTCGCCCCCGCCCCCGCATTCCTCTGGGGGTCCTACGGTTCGAATCCCTGCGGTGGCATGCTTTTAGACACTCGCTAGACCGTTTCGTCGAATCGAATTCAGCCGCTGCCTGGCGGAGAAAAGAAGCGGCCGGCTGCTCTGTGGCTCCCCCAGCAACGCCAGCCTTCTTTTTCTCTCTGTATCGCTCGTAGTTTTTCGTCCGCTAATGATTACGATGAAGAGCGAAATCTGTGTGGAGTACATGCCTGCATCATTGCAACGGTTTGCTGGAATTCGGTTTCTCGCTGTAAGAAATTCTTCGTTCCTGAGACCAATCAAGTATCGAAATCTTTGATCTCGCTACAGCTATGATCTCTCTTCCTTCAAGGCTGGCCGTATGAAACGTCTATGTAATTGAAATATACCTAGTAGTCCCTGCAGGTGAAATCCAGACACTAAGTAAATGCATTTCATAACGAAGATATTGAAGCATACGACTATGTTAACGATATTGTCAAAAATGTAATTTTAATCGTGCTGTAATTTTTAATAAAGAACATAGTGCTATCGGTATATTTCGTGAGTGCGAGAAGAGAAGATGCAGAAATTCTTCAACTCGCTACTGAATTCTCAAATCTTGGCAGTACTCTACTTCTGCCGTAACGCGAAAGTGATGTGAAACTGTCATTCGACCTTCGAGAAGAAGTTTTACTTCTTCATGACTTTTCGTGTTTTTGGGAAGGAAGAAATGTACAATATTACAAAGTACATTTTCCCCCATAATTAGAGATGAGGGAAGTACCATATTGTGTTTGTCTGAAAGCTGGCTCAGTCGAATGATGCGAGTGTTCTGTTGAACATCTGGAGCATTGTCGAAGCCAATGTACCGATAGCTGAGTGACAAGAGCCGCTGCTGCTGCAGCCCCTTCGACCGGCAGGTCCTGGGGCTCTGGTGCCGACTGTGGCAGGATTTCCCTCATCTTCTTTAGCGTAGCTCGGGCGAATTCAGCCGGCTGCTCTGATCGGTAGTTTCCCTAGTCTCTCAGATCAACACCAGGCAAATGCTGGCGCTTTCCTAACAAACGGACCGCGCGACATCTTTCTTTCCTCTTCCTTGTTCTATGTTCTTCCCATACACACGTACTCCTACATGCCCTTCACTGCCTCAGATGCATTGGGTGCAGTCGCGAGCTAGCTTATTCGGGCTAGTGCGGTGCTTCGCTGATTAGGATACCTGGACGAGGAAAACCCAGCGGCGGGTCTCGTTCCTTCGAAGGAGAAACACCGCCCCGACCCGGCACATGACGTGCACTTCACTAACGGGACTATGAGCACAGCACGGAAGCCAGATGGAGTCGCGGCATTTCAGAGATGAGCAGAGAGAATTACAGTAGTAGTGGGTGCTCTTATCTCGCTCAACGTCAACGTCAATGTCAGTTCGAGTTCGACAAAATGACTTGTGGTTGTTATGTAATAAACCTGGGGGAGGGGGTTCAGTATTCCTCGAATTCAGTCGCTGCCTGGAGGAGACTTGTAGCGGGCGGCTGTTCTGATGGGTAGTTTTCTGTGATATCTCCGATCAACACCGGGCGAATGCGGCACTCACCTTAACAAATGGACCATTCTGCGCGCGATGTTTTCTTCCTCTTCTCGTGCTGACACACCAACAGGTGCATGTGGGGGGAGCAGAGGTTGTCCCGTCGCGCGGTTCGGCGCCGGATGTCTTCGTCCAGCCCGGGAGAACATTCGCGATGATACTGGCGGGGCTCGATATCAGCTGACGCGCCAGGAATCACCGATCGCTCGACCGCGCTAGATTTAGCAAAATCATAAACATTTGTTATTGTAGTGTATATATGATTCTATACAGTATTATTTTTTAAATAAGTACTAATTCTAACATAAAAACTATTTACACGAATGTTGCCAAATGAGAGGAAGCTCCCTCTGGATCCGCCTACTGCCCGCAGTGGCAGCGCAATCGCCAGCCAGGGCGCTGAGCGCTCTTTGCACTGCCTACATGACATTGTGTTTCCTCTTTCTTCGTATTCATTTCACATATTGAGATTGGCAACAAATACGCTGTGTGCGTGAGGTCCGTTTCTTCTCTCAAGCTTTTCCGATGACTTGGTATACTCGAGCACTGGCGATTTAAATTTGAATGCAAGTGGCTGAAGGATGTGGCTGCGGGCTGTTGCAGGTGCGCGAGAAAGAGCTGGAGCTGGAACGCGACTACGAGGAGACGCGGCCGCTGTCCGACGCCGCCGCCGCCTACGACCGCCAGCTGGGCGTGCGCATGCGCGACAAGGCCTCGCGCCTGCAGGTCAGTCAGGCTCCTTCGCGGGCAGCAAGTCTTTGCGATCGATGTACTGCGTAAAGTGTATTGGCTCGCATGAACTATTCATTGGTGAATGAAAATGTTGTTGGCTGGAGAACTTTTATTCTCTAGTGCTGTCGCGTGCCATACGCAACGAATGATAATAGATTACACAATTGCATATTGATGAATTAATTTAAATTTCATTTATAGTGTATTGTTGAATTGCTGGAATTTGTAGAATTCAATTATGATTAGGGACCGGATTTTTATGTAGTTACATATTTTTTGTGTATCTTACTTAATGTTCTCGAAACTGTAATCTTGGCGAATCTTGCCTCTTATAACACAATATCCACGTTCTGTTACATATTTTATATATTTAGTGATGTATTACCTATTTTGCTATTTTCAAAATTTTTTTACTCTATCAGTTTTCTTTAATTTTACCACATTTGTTTATGAAAAGAATTAAGAGTATTTTGAAAAAAGACCTACATTTCCTACATTGTTGGTGACATGTAGGTGTGAAAAGTATCACTGACCGCGCGTCTCGTGACCTTAACCTTACTTTCGGAGAACCTTTGGCGACGAGAATGCTGCGCGCTGCGGTGATGTCGTCCAAGGCATCGCCACTTTGCAATCTTGTTTCTATGCACCTTAATCTGCCTGCTTAGCTACGGTCCTGGATAACAATACGTGAAGTTTTTACTACTAGTACAGTCGGGAAAGTTGGTTGGTGCAACATCTTCCTGTACTCTCCAAATTATTTTTTAAATTAGTTTAGGAATTTTTTTATTACTGTAATTTCGTATTATATAAATAAGTTTAATATTTGAATATTACGTATATCCAATCATATTCATTACATATTTTGACGTTTTATACTACATAATCATGGTATAAAATACTTACCATTTTGGAAGATGCCTGCATGTGGGAAGCAGGGTGTCCTGATCTGTGAATCGTCGTTGGCCACGTCTATGCGGTGCAATTGGCGCGCAGCTCGAGACTACTTCTGCCGCTCAGGAATAGAAACGGGGTGAGTGGGGGGGGGGAGGGCGCCTGCAACCCGGTTGATCACTCGCGTGGAAGGAACGGGGCTGTGATTTTCCGTCTTTTGAAAGAGGAATCTTTTGTATTCCAACATTACAAACGACTTTTTTCGTTCCAAGAAATCGTTCATTAAATGACATCTTACGGATGTGGCACGGATAATTGCGTCATCACTTATTCAGCCAATCGTGACAAGGTAGCGGTAAACGGAACTGTCGACACCGTTTTTCGCACAGCTGTCGAATACCCCTTACCTCTCAATAAAGATATTTTCCAAAGATCAACTTAGTTCTCTTACAAATTTATAATGCTGTTTTACAAAATAAAATAGCAATGAAAACTCATTTATAATGTTGCTCTATTGCAAATTGCTTCTAACGTCTCTCATTTTCAAAATATGTACTTGTTTTAAAGCTGAACATAATATACGTGTTGCATAATGTACAATTATTTCTTCACTATCGGGTTTGAGGAATGATGTCCGGCCTAGCCCTATTTCGTGGCGAAGAATTATTTGATGGATTCGCGATGGACATCTGATGAATTTCAGTCTTTGCTAGTTTTGACGCTCATTTTCCCTACATGTGTCGCATCAACGACGATCTGGTAATAATCGTTCCTAGTAAATGTTGCCTCCTTCTGTGGCGATGGAGGAGGGTCGAAGGCTACCTTTTCCCCTTATGACCACGGGCGGGAAAGATGGCGCAAGGACGTCACATGTGTGACACGGCCCCTGGGTGGTGCCAGCCCGTCGCGCATTGGTGTTTGGAAGGTTCACGAAATCCCCTCGGCTGCGGCGGATCACCAATGCGCGATGCATTGCCAACTAGAGATGCGCCACCGCCAATAAAACATCGGCTCCCAAAACCATCGATGTTTTTAAAACCTTACCTATAACTTATTGGTACCATTAATATTCACGGGATGAGGTAATTTGACGGTGTTCGGGTTTCGTAATTTTTGATTTTGCTTTTGATTTTAACTGACGAAATAATATCAAAAAATTACCATAATAATTTACAAAAGTTCAATTATCTCGTTCGATAATTCAAAAATACACTGAAGAGCCAAAAAAATTGGTACCCCTGCCTAATATCGTGTAGGACCCCTCGAGCATGCAGAAGTGCCGCAACGCGACATGGTATGAACCAGACTAATGTCTGAAGTAGTGCTGGAGTTAATTGACATCATGAATGCTGCAGGGCTGCCCATAAACTAGTAAGAGTTCGAGGAGGAATGTTCATGTCTTGGGATTTTGGAGGCCAGTGAAAGTGTTTAAATTCAGAAGTGTTCCTGGAGTCACTCCGTTGCAATTCTGGACGTGTGGGCTGTCGCATTGTCCTGCTGGAATTGCCCACGTCCGACGGGATGTACAATAGATATAAATGGGTCCAGGTGATTAGACAAGATGCTTACGTACGTGTCTGAGTCGTATCTAGACGCATCAGGGGTCCCATATCATTCCAACTGCACATGTCCCTGTTGACATGCATTGTCCATGTATTCATGAGGTTGTCGCAAACCTCGTACACGCCCATCCTCCCGAAACAATGTAAAACGAGACTCTTCAGATCAGGCATCGTGTTTCGGGACATCAACAGTCCAATGTCGGTGTTGACGAGCCCGGGCAAAGCGTAAAGCCTTGCGTCGTGCAGTCATCAAGGTACATGAGTGGGCCTTCGGCTCCGAACCTCCATATTGATGTCTCGTTGATGGCCCAGCATTGAAGGCTGCGCTCGTGTCGCGTGCATTGACTCTCCTCAGTCGTCGGCCCCGTTCCCGCGCGATCCCCTCGCGGACGTAGCGGCGCCGGAGATTGGTGTTCACTGGATTCCCGATACTCACACTCGGGTACACTCGCACCATTTCTGACCCGAGTGTGCTGAAATGGTCGTACGGGAAAATCTAAAAAAAGTCATCACGATTTTTAGATGATTTGCCCTTTCTCTATTGCGCTGACTACAACACCACGTTCAAACTTGATTAAATCGTTATAACCTGCCATTGTAGCAGCAGTAACCAATCTAATAACTGCCAAATCTGGTTGTCGCCTTAGTCGTTGCCGACCGGAGCGCTGTATTCTCATTGGTTCCAGATCTTCACTTAAATACGCGTGGCTGTACCAGTTTTCGTCGCTCTTCAGTGTAATATAGCCTGCCGTCATCGATAAAACACTTTATTTTCCACCCTTGTTCACTTTGGTCTGATTGTTCAATTTATGTAATCCCAAAATTATTACAAGATTTGTATTATGATGGTACTATTTTCACTCAAAAATGAAATATTGACCTCGTAAAAACATATAACACAAAATATCGATGTTAATAAACGTCGGCATCAAACAATCGATATTAAGTGTATCGGTACATCGAAATATCGACGTTTCGGAAACAACCCTACCAATCAGGGCAAATGCCTCTTGTGCAACTTCCTTATATGAAACGTCCTATCACGTGATCGTTGAAAAACTAAAGGTGCTGAAACAGCAAGTACTTTCAGGCAAAATTCCGCACATTTTCAAAAAATTGTTGGAGACTTCACTTTAAAATGAGTCTTTAAGGAACGGACTGGAGGTAGTGCTCGTCTTCCTCTTGGACGCGTCATCGGCTGAGACGGTCGTCCGAGCGGGAACTCAAATGGCAATGCAGTGGCGTCAGCGCCCGAGCGAATGTCGGCGTCTCAACTGATGAAGTGTCAACGGACTCAATGGTTTAATCGAAGTATATTCGGTCCCTGTAACGTACCTCTAGCACAGTACGAACTTTGCTTTAAAATTATACACAAAATACTGAAGGGGCATTTTCCATACTTCGGAGATTGTTATATCGCTGGAAGTTTGCATCATGGTCCCTAAGTCGACACTAAAGTTTTGTTCGCAAACCTATAGAGTTCTGCCAAAGAACGGTTTCCTTGGAAATGTTAATAAAATTTTTAATTTAGTTGCGGTTGGGAAGAATTTTTATTTTACTATTAAAATAGGGTAACGCTTTAATTTCACACTGCTTTTCGTGCACGACTCGTTAATGCTGACCTAAAACTCGCTTGCTAGGTTCATTGACATATTAATTGCGTGTTTTTGTTGTTGTTTGTTGTTTTTTTTTGTACTTTTTGTTCTTTTACCTTCGTGTGATGGTATTACGAGTTGCCACTGATTTCTGCCCATAAAAGTTCCCGTAAGAAGCTTTCCATTTTATGATCCTTCTACCGCCCAGTGCCTGACGATATTGAAGTTCCGCTTATTAGCACCCCTGTGTCAATTATTTAAGTTTCTCAGAAATATTTTATCCTATAATTGAAATGACTAATTTTAGTTTTTCTTGCAAATAAGTATTTTTCGCACAACTATTTTCCATATTTTGCATTAATTAAACGAAAAGAACATGATTTGTAATAAAATAGTATCATTTATTCAAATACAATTACAGTCTGAGAATGTTTATCAAGATAAATCTTTTTACGAACTTTTTCTCAAACGAATTCATTAATAGTTGTGTGCAAGTTCATTTGTTGGCAAAGTGCTTTCAATACAGAGAATTGTTAATGAATTAGGTCGTCCATTATTCATTGTCGATCTTAAGTAATTTTTTACTCTTTGTAAGCAAGAAATGAACGTTCCTGAGCAATTGGAAGCAGTTGTACATAACAACATACGAAGATATTTGTCTATATTTGGGTAGACATTTGTAATTCTTCTTCGCGTAACAATTTGCTTAGTGAAATGGGAATCGTTAGCTTGATTTCTGAATTGAGTATTGTTAAATGAGATTTCAAAATAAATAATTCGCCAACAATAGCTTCTTCAGGATCTTCGGGAAATTGTGATTGCAAAAAATTAAAGAATCTTGTGTTAAGAAAGTTATGTAACATATACGATCTGAAATGCTTTCGCCCTGGGCCAGTGCCTTGAGACGAGACGCTGTTGGACCTGTTGCTTCCTCAGGCGTAATGAT